CGAAGTTTTCATATTGTGTGCAGATGCGTGTGTGCATCCTTAGATTCCAGAGTGTTCTGGCTTCTGTCTTTGTCGACTCTAATTGCTGCTCTTTGGTTTTGTCTTCTATGTTATGTTCGACGAAAGGAAATTGAAATCGGTGCCCGAAAACAGTTTCTGTCTTTTGCGTTATCTTCAGACTTTTTGGAGTAACGGTTGGAAGTTTAGGAACAGCTTGCCAATTTCGAAAAGACTGAGATGTGGATCGGCTTAAGGTGGCAATAACCGCCCAAATGCAGGGCCGGTTTTAGGGAGTTGAAAACAGCTCGAAAACGTTGCCGCGGACAAGGGGCCTCCACAGTAATTCATGGGTCGCGCAAAGCAAGTCCATCGCCCCGCTTCCCATAATGCAAGGGTCGCGCAATGGCGCAGACTGGCAGTGGCAATCCATTGTCGGACCCAAAGGCAGAGCAGATCAGCGTAAAATCTGATGGCCACAAGCCCGCAGGCTACTTGAGGTCATGAAGTCAGATTGGACGGATGCGGATAAGTTGCAATGGCTGACCACTCTGCGCTCCTCCCACGAGACGTGGCAGAAGATGAGACTGATAAGACGCCCAGAAATGAACATTTCAACCAGATTGCGGAAGACTGGCCGCACTTCACATGCCATGGGTCCCCGAGCCACTAATACTGCCATCCAGACCTCGACACGAGCACAATGCTCGTGCGGCGCGTGAACAGGCGGCAAGAGCGCTGGCGTCGAGCGGGACAGCCGTCTCTTTTTGTTGCCCCAGCGTGGAAAAGAAATTAGCCCCAAATTGCGGCTCTTGGAATGGTCGACGAGGCCTATCCACACAAAAAAAAAGATCGTTGTTAGCTTTGCAATGGTCCACGCCGATCCATGAGCGGGTTTTACAGAAGAGAGAACAAGCAGCAAGTGAATAGGGTGAGGTAGAGGTTGGCTTATGCCCAAGTCCATTCGAAGCGCAACCGACTCCGCACCTACCCCGTGAAAATGCACGGCAAGTTCATTGGCCGGCGACGCGTGACCGCGACAACGTTCCGCGCGCTTGCCGCACGCGCTGCTGCCCGCGTGGGTGGGATTCTTAGGATCCGCACGTGGCCCTTCAGAAATGCAGGACTTCACAAACTGAAAAATTTGACAGTTGTAGCGCTGTCGAACAACTTAGCTTTCTGCTGACGATTCATAGCAGTCGGCTTATGACGGATGCTTGACACCTGTAGACCCTTGAACTGCTATGTCAGAAGTTGACATTTTTGCCCGAGCCTGGCTTAGCCACTGCCAACACTTATCACGACGACATTTCCTTCAGCAGTTTACGCGCGTCGTACAAGCTTTACATGTGCAGTGTTTGTGGGTTCAGGGTCTTGGCTTGCATTTCGGAAGCTCGATGTCCTGCTGCCGCAGGGCAGCCCGGACCCCATTAGCGAGGCACGCGGCCATCCTGGCTGCTGAGGACGATGGGAGTGATGGGGCTGCTCCGATGCACTTTCCGATGTACACGATCCCTGCCGATGTGCTGTTGGAGATGACCGAGCTCAAGCCTCACGAAAAGCTCATGGCTATGAGGTTGCTGACCGCCTTCGATGGTACGCAAGGCAAGGCTGGCCTGGTGTCGCACCAATGGGCTGCAGTGCACCACCCGGATCCAGACATGAAGCAGATGAGAGTCTTCCAGGATGCCCTAAGGCATCTGCTGAAGGACAAAGGGATGGTTCCCCTGGACTGTATCACAGAGACCTTCCTTACATCTGCCAAGGCCATAACATTGACGGCCTTCCAGTCAGAACCGCTCTTTCTCTGGTACGACTATTTCTCGGTTCCGCAGGAGGTTCGCGACACTCACAACCAGGCCAAGGCCATTCAGAGCATCCCAGCTTATGTCGCTGCGTGCACTTTCTTCTTCGCCCTCGTCCCCTTCATCGAGGATTCGGCGCTGTCGCCGATGAGTTGGTCTCACCGCGGCTGGTGCAGGTGCCCCGGTGTTGCGAAGTCTCGGGAAAATTTTCGGGTCCGACACGATGGGGGCATTTCGGATCGGTAGAGGGTTTAGGGTTCCGGGTTTCAGTGCTAACCCTAAACCCCAGACCAGAACCCTGAACCCCAGACCCTAGACACAAAACCCTAGATTCTAGACCATAAACCTTCAACCTAAACCCTTAACTCCTCAACCCTCAACCCTAAACCCCTAAACCCTACAACGGGATCTGAAGCCCTCGACCTGACTCTTTGTGGATTTTCGGAACTCTCCCACGAGGGCCGACTCGTGAACTGATCCGAAGCTGGGCTGTTAAGGGCTCCTTTTCGGATCGGCTTTAGGGTTCATAGTCGGGTTTAGGGTCAACAAAGGTTTAGAGTGCAGGGTTTGGGGGTTGGGGTTCAGGTTCTAGCAGTTTTGGGCTTCAGGGGCTCAGGGTCGAAGGGTTCAGGGCCTAGGTATTGGGCTTGGGAATTGGGATGCCCAAGTCCTAAGTTGAAGCACCTCTGCCCGTGGCAGGCTGGAAAGAGTTGTCCGAGAAATCTCTGCGGACCACACCTGGATCTTGATCAAAAGCAGCACTTCGCTGGAAGTGGTGGGCACTGCGGCATCCTTTCCTATCGGACAGGTGGGCGAAGGTGATTTCACGGTCCCTACAGATGCCGAGAGGCTGGGCCCTGTCATCAGAGGAGTGGTTTTGCACAAGCTGCGGTCGTGCTTGAAGGCACGGGATTTCCCTGGTTATCGCCGGCACCTCAACCTCCAGTCTGTCTACTTCAAGGATTTGCCGGTGGAGCCATTGCACGACTTCGTTCCGGGCTTTGATGACTTGGAGCTGGGTTCCAGCGCAGCTTGCCCGAGAGAATTGGCGGTGGCCAGGTTCATGCACCAGAACGGCTTCCGCTCCGTGCGCGAGGTCGACGGCGCAGGGTGGACGCCGATACACTATGCTGCGCTAAGTGGTAACACAGATCTCGTGGTCGGCCTGCTGCAACAGAGAGCCGCCTTGGACCGGCGAACCTCTAAAGGCGAGCCGAAGCTGGGATTCCCGCCCTTGGTATCCGCGCTGGAGCTGGCTCTGGCCTACAGGCAGCACGAGTCGACCCGCGCGCTGATTGAGGCCCGAGCGAACCTCAGAGGTGCCCTCTACCCTGCGATGCAGATCGCGGCTTTGGCGGACAACCCCGAGGGGATTCGCATGCTTTGTGCTGCCGGCGCAGACCCTGTCGGCCGAAACCTCTTCGGCTTTACTGCGTTGGATTCGGCGTTCATTCTTGCAGGCGGCGGTCGCCCAAAACACCACCTGAACACGAGGATCTCGCTTGGGATCCCCCTTAAAGAGGCCCCCTTCTTCCCGAACACTCGGCGACCCTAACGCCGAAAGCCTGATCCCTGTAACCCCGAAACCCCGAAGCTCTTCGGTGTTCTTACCTTTTAGGGAACCTGAAGCCCGAAGCCCTACGTTTTCTTGAAATTTTAGGTGCCTTCTTAAAGGACCATGGGACTTAGTAAGTAGGGTTATAACTGAGGTAACTATACTTATAACCCCAATTAGGGGACTTATAACCTTCCTTACTAAGTCCCATGATCCTCCAAGTACTACTCTAAACCCTAAACCCTAAACCCTAAACCCTAAACCCTAAACCCTAAACCCTTACTTACTAAGTCCCATGATCCTCCAAGTAACGCCCAGGTGTGGCAGCGCGGGAGGAGCTTTTGAGGCAGATGGACTTCGAAGCCTCCGTTCTCTCTTGCGTGTCTTAGTAGCTCAGGGTTTTTAGGGTTCTTTTTGGGTTTTAGTGTTTAGGGTTTTAGGGTGTCAGGGTTTTAGGGTTTTAGGGTTTTAGTGTTTTAGGGCTTTAGGGTTTATAGGGTTTTAGGGCTTTAGGGGTTTTAGGGTTTCAGGGTTTTAGGGTTTGGGAGTACTTGTCGAAGGGCTTGCATGAGGGGGTTCTGCAAGGCTTTGCCAGGCCTGGGCTACCGATTGAGATTGAGGGGTTAAGGGTCTAGGGTTGAGGGGTTTAGGGTTTAGGGTTGTATGATCGGTTCTGTAAAGGGTTTTAGAGGGGTTTGCAAGGGTTCTTGTAGCAGTAAAGCAAGTACTCGTTTAAGGGATTCTATCAGGGGTTCTTGCAGGGCTCTATAAGGTTTAGAAGTGTTCTTAGACGCAGCGCAAGTAACTGTTTTAAGGTCTCTGGAAGGAGTGGGCTTTCAGGGTTCTTGGTAGTAGAGTAGTAAACTTTAAACCCTAAACGCTAAACCCTAGAACCCTCAACCCTAAACCCCAAAGCACTAAACCCTAAAACCCTAAAGCCCTATACCCAAAACCCTAAAACCCTAAACCCTAAAGCCCTAAACTCAAACCCTAAATCCCTATAAACCCTAAACCCCAAAATCCCCAAAACCCCTAAAACCCCTAAATCCCTAGAGAATCTCGCAGCTGAGCCTGGGAGAAGTAAGGTGCTGCTCACTGCCATGCTCTACCGGGGAGGCACGGCAGAGGCCGTACAACGTCTCGTGGGTCTTCGTGCCGACATCGACTTCCAGTTCCTGGGTTCGTGTCAAGGGTTGTATTTTTTTTGCTACCATACTGGGGATCTCTAGTAAACAACCTGGTTTCCTCATTACTCATCATGGTAACTTCAATGAAACCCCTTAACTAACACAACCCCGAGGTTTAGTGCCCGTGCAGCCTCTCCATTCGGCGCAGTGCTCGCGATAATGTCTCTCCAGCACAGACTGGGACGAGTCACCGCGCAGACAGAGCAGTTCTACCACTACCGCGGCATGACTCCGCTCATGGCAGCTGTTTTCTCGTCGCAGCATGAAGGAGCTGCTGCTCTGATTGCAGCGGGGGCCAATCTGGATCTCAGGAACTGTCGGGGCTTCAGCGCCGCGGACTTCGCGAAGAGGAGGTCTCTGCCGGAGTTTTTGGAACAGGGGTTAGTGGGTGACCGCTCCGCATGCCGACGGGTGACGGCAGTGGCACTCGCCACCGGCACGGGCGGCATGGTTCAATGCACGGTCTGACCGTGCTAGCCTCACTCCTCAGAGCTCATGGCTTGAAGTTTATATGTAGTTCGAGACCTGCGACGCAGTCTTCAGATTTCTTCAGCGTTGAACGTACCATGCACTCACATGTCTTGAGTGGGTGTCATGTCATGACCAAGTCATGACGTGAAGAGATAGTCTTTTCGTCTTGCGAAGCAGCGGACCATCTACCAGCATCTCTGGTTGCCGTCTGGCAGGCTTGCTTAACTTGCAAGTTTGTTTCAGTTGCGACGTGCGGTACTTCATATCCGTACAAGTCCCAACGAGAGGCACCACCTGCTACAAGCGAGTACATGAAACGTGTGGCAGCCAGAGAGCTCTTGCTCTAAACCCTAGACTCCTATACCCTAAACCCAAAACCCCAAAGCTTAAACCCCAAACTGCGACCCCAACCCGGAAGCAGTTAGACCCCTTAAGCCCTTGGCCCAAGATCCTGAAGGCTGTCTTCCCAAACCTCAGCGCACTTTGGCCCTTGGTGAGGTTGTAGAGGAGGGTTTAGGTTTTTCGGGTTGAGGGAGTTTAGGGTTTCAGGGTTTTAGGATTTAGGGTTTTTAGGGTGTTAGGGTTTCCGGTTTTAGGGTTGTGGGGTGCAGGGTTTTATATCCGAAGGCCCCCATAACATTCTTAAAGGAATCTAAATTCGATAGTTCAGGCCCCCATCTCATCCTCTTATAGGTTAGGAGTACTTGGACCCCAAGGGTATGTAGAAGAATAGCCTTTCACCGGTGTTGGGCCATGGTTTTACTACTTTTGGGGGTTTAGGGACCCTAAACCCTAAACCCTAAACCCTAGCCTTGTTCGAAGAGTCTCTGCACCGAAGACCGTGCTGCCGCCCAGCCCCAACGCCTGAAGCAGTGTATTCCGATTCGTCGCTTGGGTCTGAGGTCCCTGAATTATTATTATTATTATTATTATTATTATTATATATATTATTATATATATATATATATATATGTATGGGAGTCTTTATGGTGTGCGGGGTGTATTCGGTCGGGGCAAAGCCACAAACCATCCTAAAGCCACAGAGCCCTAAACCCTAAACCGCTGACCCCTCATCTCCAAACTCGACTTCAAGAGCCATAAACCACAAGCCCTGGAACCCGAAACCCTCAAGCCCTCAAAACCCAAATCCTAAACCCCAAAGCCGCGAAGCCCTAAACCCTAAACCCTAAACCCCTAAACCCTAAACCCTAAACCCCGAAACCCTAAACCCCTAAATCCCCAAACCCCTAAACCCTAAACCCGAAACCTTCAGGGAACTTGGAGCCCGAAGTTTGAGCGCCGCCATGTCCAAGAATCCGGCGAAGAGGCAGAAGAGCGCCACGCAGGGAGATTCAGGCTCGCAAGAGCCGCGGTTTGGGAGATAGGGTTTGGTCTAGGGTTTAGGGGTTTAGGGTTTATAGGTGTTTAGGGGTTTAGGGTTTTGGGGTTTAGGATTTGGGGCTTAGGGTTTAGGAGATACTTAGACCCCATGTAACCTAGCTTTTTGAGGAAACCATAATCGGGAGCCTTAAAAAGGAAGGTTTTACAGGGTCCAGGTTGGGTTTAGGGGTCTTTAGGGTTTTGGGTTTTGGGGTTTAGGGGTTTAGGGGTTTAGGGCGTTTAGGGTTTGGGAGTTTAGGGTTTAGAGTTTGGGGGTTTTGGTGTGTAGGGGTTTGGGGTTTAGTGTTTAGGAGCTTTGGGTTTGGGGGTTTAGGCCTTAGGGGCTGGCCCCTTTACAGCCGTCCTCTGTAGGGCTCCCTGTTCTGATTCCCTTATATCTGTCATGGTTCAAAAGGCGATACATAGGTTGCTCAGGGCCCAGGTACACCCTAAACCCTAAACCCTAAACCCTAAACCCTAAACCCTAAACCCTAAACCAAAAACCCTAAACCCTAAACTCCGAACCCGGCAAAGCCCCCAGCCTTTGCAGTCTGATAACCCCGAATCCACCCTACAAATACTCTACTCTCTAAATCACCAAACCTTAAACCCTAAATCCGTACTTGGAGGATCATCGGACTTAGTAAGTAAGGTTATAAGTCCTTTAAACGGGTTATAAGTATAGTTCCTTTAATTATAGCCCTACTTACTAAGTCCCACGATCCTTTAAGTAGAAATATTCTACTCCCTAAATCACCAAACCCTAAACCCTAAATCCCTACTCCCTCCTTACATTACCAAGGCGCTACTATAAATCTACTAAGGAACCCTAAACCCTAAACCCTAAACCCAAAACCCCCCAAAACCCTAAACCCTAAACCCTAAACCCTAAACCCTAAACCCTAAACCAGGCGCTGCCGAAGCTCTAAAGCCAGAACTGCCAGAGTCCGGAGCCTTCAAACCGGACGTGACAGAGCCAAGAAAGACAAGATGCGCCTTTACCACCCGAAGTACGGTTGATGATAGAAGTCTTGCATTACCCATCATAAGGAACATACCATAATTTATATAGTTTAGGGTCCCTAAGATTATGCAGGATTTATATCATCAACCGTAGTTTGTTTAAGTTCAGAGTGCAAATCCTTAAACTCGCAAGCCCGAGCCCCAAACCCCAAACCTTGAACCCGAATCTGTCGGCCCCCTGGACATCCCGCTGCTCAGACCCTGACAGGGAACTGAAAGATCGATCCTGCAAGCAAACCTATCCTACCGTGGGCCAAGATGGGGCCTTATTTCGGGGTCGCACTGTTGGGATCCTGGTAGGGGTCTAGAGGAAACTCGTCACCCTTAAACCCCAAACTCGTTTATGGATCATACAAGATCCTACAAGCCTAGAAACGTCCTACAAAAGCCTTGTAGTACTGTCCTTGAGGAACTTATAAGAAGCTTACAACATCCTTAGAACTCCCATGATTCTTTCAGGGACGCCCTGAACCGTGAACCCTTTCGATGGATCTGTTGAAGGGTCCTTGAAATGGATTTAGGATTTAGGACCCTCCACCCTTAAATCATCCCCCAACAGCCATAAAACCCTGGACCCTAAAACCTATACCCTAAACCCCGAACCCTGAACCCCTAAACCCTAAACCCTAAACCCATCCTAAACCCTGAACCCCCACCCTGAACCCCAACACTCTGAACCCTTAGGCTTCTTCAAAAGGGCTCCCTGAAAGGGCTCCTTTAAAGGGCTCTTTTAAAGGGCTCTTTTAAAGGGCTCCTTCAAAGGGATCCTTTAAAGGGATCCTAAAAAAGGGGTCCTTTATAGGGCTCGGGCTCCTTTAAAGGGCTCCTTGAAAGGGATCCTTTAAAGGGATCCTTTCAAGGGCTTAGGGCTTAGGGTTTAGCTCCTTTACAGGGATCCTGCGTCCAGCGAGGCAACTCTGCCAACTTGGCCGGCAGCGAGCGGCGCAGGGAAGCGGCCCCATCCCTGCTTGAAGAGGTGGAGCTTACTATCGTTTTGTTTTAAGGTCAGCTTCGTCTTATTACTATTTCCTTTTAATTACTAATCATCATTGTTAGCAATTCTCTGTTCTTCTGCTTATGTCCTAAACAGGTTTTGTATGTAGCTTTTAGGTTCATTCTTTCCGAAGCTTAACATTTTCTGTCGAAGGCTGGGGGTTTGCAGGGTATGAGTGGTTCAATGTGGGGTCTCAAAGACGTATCGTCTTGAGGTTTGGGGCTTCAATTCCTAGGCCTTAAGCCCAAAAACCAAAATACCGAACTCTAAATCCCAAACCCCCAAAACCCTGAACCTTAAAGCATTTGGGTAATTCTCAAAAATAGGATCCCTTAGTAGGCCCCCAGCATAGTACGGCACCCGTAGTTCAGAGAACGCTAAACTCCGCTAAACCCTAAACAAGCTCCTAATCCCTAAACCCTAAACCCAAACCTCCCTAAACCCCAAGCCCTAAACCCCTAAACTCCCTTAACCCCTAAACCCCCAAGCCCTAAACCCCTATACCCTAAACCCCGAAACACCTAAACCCCTAAACC